AGATAGATAGATAGATAGATAGATAGATAGATAGATAGATAGATAGAGGCTGGGGGTGTGGCTCAGTAGTTTGGTGCTTGGATAGTGAGTAAGCGTTGACTCAACTCTAAACATTGCCAGAAGAAAGAGTAGAAGAGAGAAGGAGAGGGAATGAGAATTCATTACAGGCATTTGCGCAGAAAGCACATGAAAAGATGCGGTTCCGTCTATGCTGTCTCCCTAAGATACTGTCACAGCTACACACAGACAGCAAACTCAGAGTGACTCAGCCGCTCCCACTCAGCTGCAGAAAACTATAGTGTTGGCACACGAATACCACAACACGCTGTTCTCGCTCTAAAATATTGACACTCTCTATCACATATCCACATGGAGTGACACATGGTCTCCTCCATCAAATCCACGATACGCAGACAGCCATTGTGACGCAAACATGCTCACAGAGACGGGGATACGCAGACAGCCATAGTGACACCCAGCAGTTGCCAGTAGGTACATACAAACATGCCCACAGAGACGGGGCCCACATTTGCCAGTTCACTTCTGTAGTGTGCTGCAGGCACACATTACCACACTCCCCAAAGAGTTCCAAGCAAAATGAAGATGATGAGAGATGTGACTTCTAATCTTCCCGCAGGCTATGGTTTACCCGTCCAACTCAGGAGCTAAGAGAACTCAATTCCCGTCTGGATGTCATTCAGTTTTTCCTGATGCCTCAGAATCTGGACACGGCTCAGATGATGCACCGTCTCCTGAGCCACATCAAGAACGTGCCTGTGAGCCCAGGGTCAGGGAGTAAAGCTGAGAGCCCATGGCGGAGGTCAGGGCGAGGGAACGAGGCTGATGCTTATAGAAAGCCTTGGGCTTCTTATTTTTATTTTATTAAAATTTAGTATTTGTTTTTTGTTTTGAGATAAGGTCTCACCATGTAACCTGAATGGCCTGGAACTCAAAGGAATCCACCTGCCTTTGTCTCCCAAGTGATGGGATTAAAGTTGTGAGCCACCACCACCCCTGACTATTTTTCACACAGGGTCTCTCTGTGTGCTCCTGACTGACCTGGAACTCACTCTGTAGGCAGGCTGGCCTTTAACTCAGAGATCTGCCTGCCTGCCAAGTGCTGTGATTAAAGGCATGTGCCACCACTGCCCAGCCTAAGATGTTATTTTTAATTATATGCATATATATCCAGGCCTGTGAGTCTGAGACTAGCTTGATCTACATAGTGAGTTCCTGTTCAGTAAGAGCTATGTAATGAGACCTTATCTTAAACAAACAAGCAAAATTAGGAGTGTCTGTGTGGAGTACATGCACGTGAGTGTGGGTGACTGCAGAGTCCAGGAAAGGATGGTGGATCCCCTGAAGCTAGAGTTATGGATGTTTGTCAACCTCCTGATGTGGGTGCTGGGGACCAAACCTGGGTCTCTCCCGCCTGGACTGTGGGCCTCTTGAGGGGTGGCAGATGGCAAGATGGCAAATGATGGCTGTTCCTTTGTCTGCCTGTAGCTGATTCTGAAACGCATGAAGCTGTCCCACACCAAGGTCAGTGACTGGCAAGTCCTCTACAAGGTAAGGCCTCCTGCCCCTTTCCCTGAGTTCCAGGATCCAGAAACCCCAGTTAAGCTTCGAATCCTGTCCACAGACCTTCTCTGCTCTGGGTACCCTGCCATGCTACACCCACTGATGTGTCTCCTAAACTCTGTGCTGCAGACAATATCAAAACTACATTCAAAGAGTAGTGTCGTTTCTGCCCTTGTACGTGGACTCCAACCGTCCCCGTCACCTTCCCCTGTTGTGTTAGCTCATCCACGAGCACTGCACATGGTGACTGCAGAGCTGGCACTGATGTGACCGCTGATATCAGAGCCACAGGCCTCCCCTCTATTACTGCACTATCTTCCTTTCCTGCCTGCGTGCCTGTTCTTTTCAATGTTTATTCAGTGTGTGGGGTGTCCACCTGCATGTGTGTTTGCGCTGCATGTGCATGCCTAACCCTGAAAGGCCAGCAGACGGTGGCACCAGACCTCCTGGGATTGCAGTTATGAATGCTTGTGAGCCACCATGCGGGTGCTGGCAAACAAACCTGGGTCTTCTACAAGAGCAACAAGGGCTCTAAACTGTCGAGCCATCTTTCCAGGATCTATAAGGTTTGCTGCTAATAGTGTAAAGAAACTGGGATAAAAGCTAGAATTAATGACATACATATACCTTTCTGGGCTGATATGGCTAAATATTTATACATAATTATAAAGCAAAGTAAAAAAATCTATTTATTTATTGTCTTAGTGTTCTGTTGCTGTGAAGAGACACCATGACCACAACAACTCTCGTAAAGGAAAACATTTAGCTGGGGCTGGCTTACAGCTCAGAAGTTTAGTCTGTGTTATCATGGTGGGGAGCATGGCAGCAGGCAGACACACATTCTACATCTGCACCTCAGACAGCAGGAGGAGAGCGACACAGGACCTGGTCTGAGCACCTGGGCCCTCAGAGCCCACCCCAGTGACACACTTCCTCCTAATAGTGCCACTCCCTACGGTCTGTGGGGGCCATTTTCATTCAAGCTTCCACATTTATTTACTTTTTTTAAAAACAGTTTCTTATTATGTAGCCCTGGCTGTCATGGAACTCCATGTAGACCAGGTTGGCTTAAAATTCACAGAGACTGACTCTCCTCTGCCTTCCTTCTGAGTGTTTGGGTTAAAGGTGTATGCCACCATGCCCCTGTATCTTTTTTAATTTTAAAATTTAACATTCTGGAGGCTAGAGTGCTGGCTTAGTGGTTAAGAGCACTGACTGCTCTTCAAGAGGACCTGGGGTTCAATTCCCAGCACCCACATGGCAGCTCACAGCTGTCTGTATCCTGTTCCAGAAGGGGATCTGATTCCCGCATCAAAATAAGTAAATTATAAAAAATTATCATTCTATTGTGTTTTTTAATAGTTATTTATTTATTTGTTGTGTATATAGTGTTGGCATCAGCTCTCATATAGATGACTGTGAGCTGCCATGTGGGTGCTGGGAATTGAACTCAGGACCTCTGGAAAATCAGTCAGTGCTCTTAATCTCTGAGCCATCTCTCCAGCCCCATGCTATTGTTTTTACTTAGTTTTTAAGATTGATTACTTTCACTTGTGAATGTGGGTGCACACGTGTGACGGTGAGCACATGGGACGAGAGGCAAACCTGCAGGGCCAGTTCTTCCCCCCTCCGTGTGCACACCAGGATTAACTCAGTTTGAGAGACTTTGTAGCAAACCCTTTATCTGCTGTGCCAGCTTGCTGGCCCTTAGTTTTTGAAGCAATTTAAGACTTAAAAGTTGCAAGAATTATAGATCTTCCTGTGTCTGTTTCCTAAGCATTGATGTTTGCTTCTTTGGTTGCTTACTTTAGAGATGCGATCTCAAAATATAGCCCAGGCTAGCCTCAAATGCACTATGTCATCCAAACTGATCTTGAACTTGTGATCCATCTGCCTCAACTTCCAGAGAGCTGGAATTACAGACTTGTGCCACCACCCCCAACTGAGACTTTGTCCTCTTCCCCCAAAACAAGTTTAAGGCTAGCCTGGGCTACAGAGTGCATTAGAGAGCTGTGTGGGTAACTTAGTGGGCTCTTGTCTCAGAATAAACGAGGGTAGGGATCACAACTCAGCACTGGAGTCCTGTGAGGCCCTTGGGTCCTGGGTTTAATTTCAGATAGACAATGAGGGGGCGGGGCTACACACCTGGTTCAAGCCCAGTCCATTAATTTGCTGAGTTTATTTATTGAGAGTTGAGGCTGTCTTTGCCTCTGGTGCCTCAGGGTTCTCATCTGTGAACTGGAGTGGCTGCAGTGCCCACCGCGCAGGAGCGCTCTGGCGAAGCAGTGAAGTGAACACACGTGGAAAACTAGAACTGCCTGGCCAGTCCGCGGGCCGCTGCGTCCTCCTCCTCAGTTCACCTGCTCTGTTCCTGCTTTCACACGACTTTTGAGTCTTTATTCACGACCATCTCTTTTCCTTCCCTTTGAAAAGGCTTCCGAACTGTTTCAGGCCGTGGCAGCTTGTTTTCTGAAGTTCCCGATGACTCTGTCAGCTGTCCAGCTCTCTGTGTTGACTTTACCACTGTTTCTGCCGCTTGCAGTTTCTATAGCTCTGCACAGAGCGAGAGCGCTCGGGTACTTATGGCTCTGTCCAGAAATTTAATCAGTGGTTAGATCGGCGGCTTGGTCACTGGTCCTGCCCTGGGAAGTCGGTTCTCAAGGACTCCTAGCCCTTCCTCTCTGCTGGGCCCTATGCTGTCAGTGCCTCTTCTCATTTACTTCTATTTTGGCTTCAAAAAACATTTATTTAGCTGGGCGGTGGTGGCGCATGCCTTTAATCCCAGCACTCGGAAGGCAGAGGCAGGTGGGTCTCTGAGCTCGAGGCCAGCCTGGTCTACAGAGTGAGTTCTAGGGAAGTCGGGTCTACACAGAGAAACCTTGTCTCAAAAATTATATATATATATATATATATATATATATATATATATATATATATATATAAATTTGGTGTCTGTCTGTGCTAGCGTGTACCATGACTTTCATGTGTAAACCAGGGTACAGCCTGTGAGGCTCTCTCCTTCCACCTCAGGTTGTCAGGCTTAGCAGCTCTCAGCTTTCCTTGCTGAGCCCCCTCCCTGCCCTTTCTTCTTGACTTTTATTCCTAGTTCTCTCTTGTCCCCTCTCACAGAAGTTAATCCTCTTCTCTCCGTATATCCTTATGTGTGTCTCGCTGGGTGTCTTTCTGCCTTAATAACTTCTCAGTGTTCCCCATGTTCCCCATTGGTCCCCTGAGTGGGGTCACCTTCCTTGGCTGTCTGTCCTGCAGACTGTGTACAGCGCCCTGGGCCTGAGGGACGCCTGCCGCTCCCTGCCCCCGTCCATCCAGCTTTTCCGGGACATTGCCCAGGAGTTCTCCGATGACCTGCACCACATCGCCAGCCTCATTGGGAAAGTGGTGAGCGGGAGAGGAGACAGACACACCCGAGAGCAGGCGGGTGATGAGGGAGCAGGATGGGGGAACAAGAAGGGTCTGGAGGATGTGCTGTGGGAGGGAGGGGATCTGGGCCCCCGAGAGCTGAGGAACTTCCCATCTGTCTCATCAGGTAAACTTTGAGGAGAGTCTTGCTGAAAACCGCTTCACGGTCCTCCCGAATATTGATCCTGAGATAGACTC